TCTAATCCAAAGAGCCAGCATTGTCCGTAGATGCCTCCAAGATCATGTGGCCGGCATGACTGCATGGAATGCTGTTACCTTTCTGCCAGAGCGGTAGCTATTGATCTACTCACATTTGCATGTTTTTGAACTGCTAGGTTGGCAGAAGCTGGGGCTAACAGTGTGAGCTCACGCTGCTCCCTGATTCAAACCTGCCACCTTTTGGTCAGCAAGTTCAGTAGCTCAACTTCCAAACTCAACAGACCTCACAACCTCTGAGGATGCCTGCCATAGATACAGGCGAAACATCAGGAGTGAATGCTTCTGGAACATGACCATACAGCTCAAAAAACTTACAGCAACCCTGCTAATACTATTGACTATTCATCCCTTCTAAGTATTTCTTTAATTATTTCTATTCTGTAAGAAGCGACTTCAAGCTTTTGAGAAGCAGAATATAATTATTTAATGACTACCATTAAGTGTTGGGTAGGATTACCAGTCTGAAAGCTGGAGTATGTTCTTGAACCTTTTGTAGAAGAGGAAAATCCAGTGTTACTTGTTAGCTGGTGAAACTCCCTCTTCTCATATTAATACTTTAATCTCCCTTCCCACACATTTAAAGCATTTGTTCAGTTATTTCTATTTTATCCCCAAGCATTTGATAAGCAGGTTATATAGACCTTTAAACAAAACAAACAAACAAACAAAAACAATCCCCCATACAAGTCAGACCAATCACCCCTATGATTATATTTGTTTAGAATGGGCTTTTCTTAACAATTCATTTAGTGTTTTTAAATTTGATCTGCTGGTTGCTCCTTTGTTGGCAACAACAAAGGGGCATGTTTTGTTTAACAAAAACAAAAACTAAAATAATGATAAATATCATGCAATACATATTTTAACCATCTCCTCAAAAGCACAATCAAAGAAATAAATAACAAACCATCTTGAACTACAAAGTGACAGGACACGATAGTCAGAGTGACTGGTAGTCAGAAACCACTGGATGGGTTCTATACCTTTAATGGTAATGTAGAAGTCTCCTGTTCTGTGCAACGACTGCAAGCATATGATAGGAGGAACCCCCTCTAGTTTTTAGTCTGGCAACCACCCATAGTATCTCTAGTGTATGGTTGCACATTGCTATTTATAGTATAGCTATTTACTTTATAGTAAAACAGGAATGGAGAAAAGTTCTCTCTTGAGCCTAAAATGGCTAAAGATTCTCTAATGTAATGGTTCTCAACTTTTGGGTCCCCAGGTGTTTTGGCCTACAACTCCCAGAAATCCCAGCCAGTTTACCAGCTATTAGGATTTCTGGAAGTTGAAGACCAAAACATCTGGGGACCCACAGGTTGAGAACCACTGCTCTAATGGGTTAATGGTTCAGTTTTGCAGGCCTTCCAACGTTTCATATATAAAACCTGGTCCCATGTGGCCAAGTAAAAAGCAGTGTGGCCAAGACTGAAAAAAATTATTGATGAAGAAGCACAGGCATGTGCTAGTCATGGTTCCAGCATCTTGCTTTTGTCCATGTCTACAAAGATAAGCACCACTTTACCCCCTTCTCCCATTGCTGAATTAATTGAATGCAAACTTATTTTGTATTTTGACTAGTTTGGAGCAACCAAAGAAACCAAAGGGGGCATGTGGGAAGTGGAGAGATAAACTAGGACAAAAGCTGCAAAATGGGGACACCGGAGCATTAATCACCCTGCCAAATTGGTCCAGATAGGTGCTATGATTAGAATAATAGAGTTGGAAGAGACCACAAGTGCCACCCAGTCCTACCCCATGTTGCCCATTTACTTTCAGGAAGTACTTCCTAAAGTTTAGGTGGAAACTTTTTTCCTGTGCCATAGTGTCCAAAGTAGTAGAAAACAAGTTTGCCCTCATGATGGCATCTTTTCAAATATTTAAAAAGGACAATCATATCCCTACTTTTCCTTCTCTAAGCTAAACACACTTAGTTCCCTAAGCCAAGGGCTTGATTTCATTCCAGTCTCCCTTCTCTGGGCATGTCTAAGTTTGTCAATATCCTTCGTGAATTGTGGTGCCCAGAACTGGACACAGTGTTATTCCAGGTGAGCTCTGACCAAAGCTGAATAGAGTGGGATGAAGACGTCCTTCGATCTATCTTCTAGACACTACCCTCCTATTGATGCAGCCTAGAATGCATTGATTTATGACCCCTATCCCAATATCTTAAGCAAACTATTTGGGATGCGAGTACTGAATGAATGAATGAGTCATTCAATACTCATAGACACTCTGTTATTAGGGACTGCTGTGGTTTCTTTTTCAGTGAATTTATCCAACAAATATATGAAACACTACACACTGGTAGTAGTGATGGGAACTTCTTTACTAAGCCCCAACCCTTTGCTACTCAATCAGCCATGACAAGCAATGCCAATAGAGAGTATCCTCTCTATTGAGCAATTTTGTTGGTCCACACAAAATGAGTACACACATGCACCCATATCCTTGTTAATCTGCAAAACACAAGTCTTAGTGTACCTTAATTTGTTTTGAAAAGAACATGCTATTGTCTTATCTGTGCAACTGAGCTCAACTATATCCAATTTTGGGTTATAATTGGCTGAGGTAATATGGGTCTTTAAATGTCAATTTTACCTAACAGCTCGCAGCCAGTCTCCAAGCTCAGCTGAAAAATTGATTTGCATGTCTGTAACGGGAAAACACAATTAAGCCAAGACTCGTGCTTAGTGAGGAAAGCTGTACTCTGGCAAATGGGGATTGCTTTTAGTAATCTCACAATGCATTGCAAAAACAAAGCTTTTTTATTGTGAAAATCGTTTTGCTAAATTTAAGGCAATAACTTTCTCTGTTTCTGTTGTGTGTGTGTGTGTGTGTGTGTGTGTGTGTGTGTGTGTACAGCACAGGTATGTTTCTTATACTTTTCCAATAGGCATTCAAGTTGCATGCTCCTTCTTTGAAGAGTACACTTATTTCAAGCACCAACATGAAAACGCTGGTTGAGTGGTTATCCTTCACCATTGCTAGCTGTATATTCTTGCATGTTGGGGGTTGGACTAAATGGCCCATGTGATCCTTTCCACAGCCCCATGTGAAAGTATCAGATGATTCCAATGTCCAAATACATAGATTATTCAGGCCCACCATCAGAAAATCAGGATTGCTTTAAATTAGGGGTGGATGTACACTCGGACCATAACAGGTGAATGCAAAGCATGATGCAACTCTTCGATGCAAGCTGTTTTAGCAGAGTGGCCTAGATCCCAACAGCTGCTACAACTCTGTTATTTTTCCTACTTTAAAGCCGGAGAATTTTTTTTTTCCGGACTACAGCTTCCAGAACCCTCCAGAGAGCCTGGCCACTGCCACTTTTTCAAACACTGATTTAAACCTGTTTACTAGAAAATCCATTTGTTAGGAAAATTATAAGAGTGGGCCATGGAATGAAGTAGAACTCCCGAAGACAAGCCTTATGTAAACTCAATTGAGTATACCTGTTTGGTATACTCAAAGTGTGACCAAAAATGGATTTGAGGCTCAGCCTAACAGAAGATTGGATTAAATAATACATTTAATAGTTAGCTAAACAAAATGTGGCAAAGAAAATAAATAAATAAACTCAATTTCTTCCTAAAAATACAAATTCTGCAAGCTACTAAAAATCTTGGATGGCAACTGATAAAAGTGGAAGTTGTTTTTATATGTGCTCCTAGTCAGAGATAGCAGACTTTGCGTGCCTGTACTAATAACCAATTTGCAAACTTGTTGACTTTAGGTTTGTTAACTTTTTCACACTTGCTTCCTGCATCATTCAAATTTGCAGCAATTTGCCTCTCTCTTTCCTGCAAAACACCTTATGTTTGTACATCTTCTAGTAAACAACACTGATTTTATGTTTTAAAAAAGAAGGCTAAATTATTTCCTTTCTCTGATAAATCCCATGGAGGAGCATGGGGGTGGCTATTGTTCAGCTCCTGCCTTGCCAATATGCTTACTCTGCTTAAGAGACCCAGTGCTGCATCTCACATTTATTAACATCCCTATGGTATGAAGAGAACAGTCATTCTAGTAAAAGCAGAAAGGTTTACACATTAGCTCAAGAGGAATGTGTGATTTAGCTACACGTATTCTACTAAATGTCACACATACCCTTGTTTTGATGGTGTTACGTCTATTTATATGCAAAGAAATTGAAAATACTTTGAATGGTTTGCAAGCATAAATTAAGGTCAGCATCAAAATGTTTACCTTGTTTAACAGCCTCACACACTTATTTTTTCATAATACATTGTTGCAGTTACTCAAGAGGCATAAGCTATACTTTCCAGAAAAGGATTAAAGAATGGTGTAATGGATAATGCCGCTTTGTATAATGTTGGGACATTCATTAACTTGATTACATGAATTTAAAGGGGAGGGCCCCTGCTTTTTATTACTCACAGTCTTCTTCCCAACTTGATTCCATTTCATATACATTACATAAAAGCTGTACAGAATTTTTAAAGAACTATTCCTATATTTACCTCATACATAGTAGGAAAGCAATACAGATAAACAATGGGTGTTTGATCCTTCTGTTCTCAAGGTAGCTCTCATTCTCAAATCCATAATCCCTTTCATGCTGCACAATTAATGCACTATGATTTCACTAATTGTCATGTCCCATCTTATGGGAATACATAATTGACAATTTATGGATGAGTGCTTAGAATTAGTGCATCACCAACTAGAAATCCCAATATTTTGTGCAATGTAGCTATGGCAGTTAAAGTGGAACTCAAATGCTGTAAGTGAGAGAAAACTATGAGAAAAGGGGGAATTCAACAAAAAGAGCTCAGAGATCACAAAAACCCTTAATTGGAGTTTATATAGAACAATCTTAGCAACAAAGTCTATGTAGGCGCAGATCCAGTAGTTCTGTGCAGAGAAGAACAAAACCAAACAGACTTATATTATTAACTTCTTTGCATACACTTTTCTATGGCACAGAAGGAAGGAAAGAAGGGCAGACGTACGGTTCAACTTTGTTGAAGAAGTGTCGACGCAGTAGAAATACCAAGGTGGAGATGACCAAGAAGGTAGTGCACATGGTTGTTCCTCCATTACCAAACCAGGGTCATCCTTGGGTTTTCTAGGAAGCAGAAAAGAGTACCTTGACTGCTCTCCAGTCTGAGTCAGACTGATGCCCTCGAATGCCAAGCCACTGAAGGAAGGGGGCGGGTTTCTTCTTGGTCACCTGCAAGCTCCCATGACTGCTTTAGAGAGGATTAGGGTGGATAAGATGTAATTAATGGGCTGGGAAATGAGGACAGGAGCCTCTAGTAGCCTTTTGAAGGAAAGGAGACTGGACTGCCTACACCTATGAGTTTTACCTGCTGTTTACGTGCAATGAATCATACAGTCATTTGCCTTCCAACTGCGCATCTGCATTTACCCTATTCACAGACTGGTCAGGTTCTAGTCATTCCTTGGCATCTTTTATTCAGGGTAACCTTATTTATTTATGGAAAATAAGGCATACAGGAAAAAGAGGAGGAGGAGGAGGAGGAGGAGGAGGAAGATGTCATGTTCCAAATTCAAGGAAATTCCTTATTTTTTCTAGGCTTGTGAAGCTCTGGAATCAGGAATGTTTTAAAATGAGAAGTTCATAAAATTTTATATGGACTGGAAATTATTTTTCTGTCTGGGAAGTTATTTTGCATGAACAAAATAATTTATGAGGGATTGTGATCTTTGTTTCTGCCTGTGTTTTAGGGCTTTCTCTAGAATTCGTTACGGTATCTGTCCTGTTATTTGCTACATGCTTCCTGCCCCCCTCCCCCCCCCCCATTATCTCTTTAAAAACTCTGTTTACTTTCTACTCTGTGCAATGCGCTTTCTTCCTCTAATACTGTCTGCCCCCCACCGGTTACTTGATAATCTGTAAATCCTTCTAGTTCTGTGCCAGACAGACAGCTCATCTTTTAGTTTAGACTCTGTTTCATGGTGATTACTTGCTCCTCCCCTTTTCCTGAATCTCTTTGTTGTGGTTTCCTGGCAAGACATGCACCAATAATAACACCTTGGTCTTAATCAGACCCCCGTTTGCTGTTCTTTCCTCATCGACACTCCTTGTGATGTTATTTGTGCCACAAAAATCTCCTTAAAAATCATATTTGGAAGAAGTACCTGAATAAAACAGCTACAACAACAAAGTGTTTTCTTTTGTCATAAAAAGACTCAAACACCAGATATTCTGACATTGTCTGTAAATATACAAACCCATTCTTGAAACTGATTTAATTAAAGCAACAGGATTGTCATCATGCACATGCCTGAGAAGACCAAAATGGTAAGAAATTTGCTTTTTTTTTTTGTTTGGCTTCTATAGATATAGCCCTAAACTTAAGCCAGTTACCCTAGTCTGCCCCCTTCTGTCTTCCCCCCTCTCTCCCAAATCATTCTTTTCATCTACCCTACATCTCCACCATTTTCTTTCAATTCCAGATTCTATGTTGAAATCTTATTTTTGTGTCCTGCCTCCAAACTATACCTTCAATCAGGGTGGTCATGTCAGTGGCATGGCAAAACCTCTCTGAATCTCCTGCCCACATAATTCAAAGGAGCTATCCAAGGTGCTGAGTCCATTATTTAACTAGGCTTGTTGGCATAGAATAAGAATTACACATTTAGCTAGTCTGTTGTAATTGATCTGATTAACTTAGTTTTAACCATAGCTGACATCTTACTTGTGGCCTGTATTGTTTTTCTGAGCTCTGCCATTTTTGTTATGAAATGCTGTAACTGCAGTATTATGTGCTCAAGACCACCCTACCGGATGTTATAGTTACAGTGCCAGATCCTGAGAACATCCTCATAAACAACAAATACTCTTTGAATACAAGTCACATAGACCTTAGAAAATAATTATGTGTGCTTTGTTTTTGCATAATTTTGAAGTTCTATAATGGGCCATTGCCAATACTGGAGGGGTTCTGGATTTATGCCACCCAGTATCCACGAAAATTGTCTCTATGGAATCCAAGCAGTGAGTTGCTGCTTTTTCTCTTGCATGATCCTCCTCTTACATGAGGAGTGAATTAGCTTTTCACTATTTATATCACATTCTGATTCAAGTATCCACAGGTCCTTATGGAGAATACATATTTGGGAGGAATTCATGAAGTCATCATAAGTGACTTGGAGGCACAGATATATGGCTGGCACTATGCTCCTGCTACATAAAGGACGGTGACTGTGCCGGTTGTGAAGATGGTGCAAGGAATTGCAGAAAACTGAACAAAGTGCTAACTTCTGCAACAAGAAATGCAAACTTGGAAACCCAGACAAACTCAGAACATGGAATTATGTCCAGACAGCACCAGATGTTTATAGTCTGTTTTAGGACATATCACAAAAAACAGCTGGTGCAGATAGCTGGCAGAAGAAGAGGGGTTTGGAGAATTCAAGAAAGTAGCTGTGAAGCCAGTCCTTCTCATAGCATGATGACAGCCGTTTCCAGGATTTCTGTGGCTGTCAGCAGTGGAAGCTTGTAGACAGGCTGTCTGAGATGATATCTGTATGGCATATATCATCCACTTTCAGATCAATATAACTGTCAAGGCTTCCCCAAAGATACAAGGAGCAGACATGATGAAGATGATTTAAAGTTCCTATTACAGAGTTCTCTGTTCATTGCAGAATTGCAGTTCTCAGTATGCCTGTGACTGCTAAACCACTTTATATTTGTAGTATAGACATTATGTTAGAATAGAACAGATTACTGACTGGGGCTATAAAATGTGACTTGCTTCAGTTTTGCTCCTGTTATTTCCTTGTGTGAGTTAATCAGAGCTAGCTGGATGCAACTACATTGGTGACTATTGGCCCCCACACTGAGGGGCACAGAATCTGAACTTTAAAGAAAATATCCACATGCTAAGCCCCATTCCCAAAATAGGTTCAGCACCTTGGATACATCCTTTCAAGTCTCAAAAATATGAGCTGTAGTTTTGCCTTTGCTACCAAAAACTGCTGGTGCCTCACCAAACTATAAATCCCAGGATCCCATAGCATTGAGCCATGACAATTAAAGTGCATGAATTCTGCAGTGTAAATTGACCCTCTCATCTCTGGATTCACAAACCATTTCTGATCTTTCCTATCTATTTCCTCTAAGGGCCTTAGATTCCATCCAGTGTAGTGGTCAACACCATCAAGCCAAATAATGGCTTTTTCTGGAGTGTGGACTGCACAGGCAGCAGGAGGAAGGAAACTAGGCTCCAACTTCCACTACTGTGTTGACTGTCTGGTTTGATATAGCTGAGTCTCTCAACAATGGTCAGTCTAAAGCTTTGGTAAGGAAAACATGTTAACTTTAACAAGAATGTACAGCAGGCACGTGCAAACTTCGGCCCTCCAGGTGTTTTGGACTTCAACTCCCTCAATTCCTAACAGCCAGTAGGGTGTTAGGCTGTTAGGAATTGTGGGAGTTGAAGTCCAAAACGCCTGGAGGGCTGAAGTTTGCCCATTTCTGATGTAAAGGCATGAACATAATAAGGTAGAGTGCTGTGGGGTAAGGTAGGTATCAGATATTGTCTGGAATGAAGAAAAGCTTCCCCTCCTCTGTACACTTCATTGGGCACTGCTGAGATTTAGAGAGGCTTCTGTATTTCTGCCTCACTGACATCCAGTAAATTTAACTTTATGAAATACTTTAGTCCAGAGAGAGCATATCAATTTCAAACAGGTTTGATTGACACAGAGGCACCCCTAGTTCAAAGGCACACCATGCGAGCTGCCTCACTAATGCTGCCTGCCCTGGACCTTGAGAGACCAAAGAGCACTTGAAAAGTCAGACTTAATGGCTTCTGAAGGCTTTTTTTGCTTTTAAGATATGAATCAACGAATCTTTGTGGGAGCATCAGGCACACGATCTGAATATGAATTGGGCCCTGGCTTTGAACCTGAGCAAGGATCCTTGACAGTGTTTGCATCAAGTGCCCGGGCAAATGCAAGATGGCATGAATATGATATTAGACACCTGCCTTCTCAAAACAGTCCCCTTACCACATTTAGATGGCATTAAATAAAAAGTGAAGTTTCTACGGGGAGGAGGGAGGGACCAAATGTAAACAAAGTGTTCGCTTGCTGTTTACCCTTCCTTAGGGAGGTACAGACCTTTGAAAAAAAGGAAGCAGCAAGTGTGTGAAATAGTTTTAGTGTACTCAGACTGAAACAAGGATGGGGGTCTGGGTATCAGATAAACATCATACAACATGGCTGGAGAGGAAATTAGAAAATTGTCCCTGTGGTTGCCCCCTAGGCTCCATTTTCTTCCTTTCATGTAGGTTATGTTTACTCTCTTTGCCCTTCAACTTTACTAAGGATCTTTTCTGGGAGACTGGAGCCAAAAATAATTACTCATAATGTGCATGTTGTTTATGAAAAGGACTTCAGGTTATTTCAGGGAGTAATCTTAATGCAATACAGTTCAATAAGGCTGTTCCTGACCTGGGGTTCACTCATCAAGAAAAATATGTTTTTTGAGGGATTCCATGGTTTGAGCAAGGGGTTCCTTCTAGGAGGATGTAGCTGAATAAGTACTCAAAATGTGCATGCTGCCCCCAAAATGCTGGGATAGGCTTCACTTAATTTTACCTTAATCTTTCTACCTTATAGTAAGGCTCAGTGTTGAGATTGAGGGAAGTGGCAGTACCACTTTATTGTACTCACCAGGAATACTGGATCCAGATCTGGGCGCTGCAATTCAAGAAGAATATTGAGAAGGGAAGGATAACCAAAACGAGAAAAAGCCTGGAAACCAATACCCTATGAGGGGCAGCATGTGGAACTAAATACATTTAACCCAGAGAAGAAAATGTTAAGAGGGGACATGGTAGCGATAATCAAATATTGAAAAGAATGTCACATTGAGGAGGAATGGACAAACTTGTTTACAGTTGCTCTAAAATCTTGGACATGGAACAATGGGTTCAAATTGCTAGAAAAAAAATCCCTCCTAAATATTAAGAAGAACTTCAGCACACTACCTCAGAGTATTGTGGAGTCTCCTTCTTTGGAAGTTTTTGAAGCTTTTTGAAGCTTAATACAGACAAGACAGAGGTCCTCCTGGTCAGTCGTGGGACCAACCAGGGTATTGGGTGGCAACCTGTGCTCGACAAGGTTACACTTCCCCTGAAGGCGCAGGTCCGTAGCTTGGGGGTCCTCCTG